AACCCATATATGTTACTGTCTTGATAGCTTCTCCAGGACCGTGTATGTCACACTTAAATGGTTAGCACTTGTATTTAAGAAGGCCTGGGTTCTATTCTTGGCAGAGGAGTCTGCTAGCAGTTTTTGTGTGTTTTTCCTCAGTCCCTATAACAAATTCTGAGAGACTATTTCAAGAGAAGTAATAGCCACGCCCTACAATTTCGCCAGTATCTTCAAATTCCATTAAACATGAATTCCTGTTGACAAATCTGAATCAGTAAAGTTTGACTATAATCATGAATATCTCTGGCATAACTGGAGCAGAATTACAAGCTTGATTGATAATAAACACATTGCAATGGCCCACTTTTGGACATCATTCATAATCCTAATTTTTTTAGATGTTTCAGAGACTGGGCTCTGTCTCCATCTAAAAACCTACTCTATTGGCCACAAGAAATGCCTGAAGACAAAACAGTCCAGTCTTCGAAAACTGTCTCAAAATTATGACAAATATATCCCAGAAATTGATCACCGAATGTTATCATTTACACACCTTCGATCCTATAAATAGATCATGAGTTAGTATATGTTTATATGTGTGACATAATTTGTTGTTACAGATATAAAACATTACATGAAAGGTGGCATATGTTGGAAAATTACAGCAGAATTAATCCTTTCCCCAACACTGAGGAGGTGTGTTCAGGTATTTGTAACCAGATATTGGGTGTTTGTGGTGAACATTTCAGAAATCTTTTCTCTGAGGAAGAGAGCCTAAGAATTCTTTACACAGGACACTGAACAAACAGTGAGGCTATTCTGAACATTACGTTGTCTGAGAAATGTCCCAATGCTTCTTCTACCAGTAACTTTGATCACAATACCGATTGAGATACAGCAGCTCATGCAAATTAAGCTGGGAAGAGTGGACAGCACACATGAAAAGTGTCTTGACGATTTTCATGGAACCACATAGCTTTTGAAACGCGAGGGGAAATCACGAAATATTAAAAACTAAGAATGTGTTGTATTCAGTAAATTCATGACGGCCAGTGGTAAATATGTTCTCAGGCTGGTAACACTTCTGGTTCCATAAGAACCGTACTCTGAAATTTAATACTCAGTTATGGAGAGAATAATTACAATAGACCTGATATAAGAGACCTACTCCTCTAACATGAATCTGTGAATCAAGGTAGTGCAATTTCGAGTAAGGTCCAGTAACTGAAATTTGCTGCCTGAATATTGTTAACGTTACATAAGTTACATTCTCAGTCATCCGTACGTGCCTAGTTCTGTAATTACAGTGATATTCTTTAAAATTTCATGCATTCATATGATATGGATCCCGTTTTATACTGTATATTCTATTTTATATTGCAGGATTTATATCGATTGGTTAAAATTAATTAGGGCGATAGCGGCCAATGCCCTTATGGCTTACAACACACGTCAATTTATGACGTCACTCGAAAACACAAAGCACGTGTTTCCGTAATGAAACGAAAGAAAGGTTTTGATTGGCTGCGTGTTCAGCAGCAACGCAAATAGTCGTCGTTTGTTTTTCGTTCACGTTGATATTGTGAGTGTGCTGTTGTGCAACAACGAGAAAAAGGTAAGAATATTGTTTATTAATTATTTCTAGATCATAATTTAGAGTTTTGTTATACTGAAAACCTTGTTTAATATATGCGGAATGTACAGACAACTGATTCTGTGAATAACTTTTCCAAATTCCTATTCCTGAGCATGTTGAAACATGCCCAAGGAACACAAATGAGTTGGCACTGAACATCCTGCAGTTAGAAAGTCGCTTGAGGATTTGCGTGATGTGACTTGTAATTTCTGAGGAGGAAGTATTTACGGAAACATATTCCTGTTGCTTTTACAGATCACGAAACTTCCGTGTGGATAAGATACACATCGAAACATAAGGATCAACGGAAAGTGTACAACAGAACTCCGCATATGAGCTGTAACTAATCAGCCTTCGTGGAATACGATTGTGATTGTTACCTGTGTCAAACAGCTCTTAGTGTAATTCAATTTCTTAGCCGGGCTGAGTACCAAGTACGTAGCCTTGCACAGAGTTTTGTTTCAACACTTATGTGTGTCACGCTGCAAGTATTGCTTGTCCTTATTCCCCAAATCAGCAGTAATAATCATGCTAGACGAGATTTCGGCGGCGGTGATCTTTTTAGTCCGCCTGATAGAGAGAAGCGAAAACTTTAACCAAGAACAGTTGGAAGATTTCAAAACACGTCTGTCACAGTTACTAGTAGAACGTTTTGAAAACCATTGGTTCCCAGACCAGCCGTGCAAAGGACAAGGTTACCGCTGCATCAGGGTAAATGAACGGGACCCCCGGGATGCTACCTTGGAGCGAGCAGCAATTGCTTGTGGATTCAAATATGAGGACTTGAAGCTACCAGTAGAGTTAACAGTTTGGGTTGATCCAAATGAAGTATGCTGCAGGTATGCATGAATGTTTGTTAGCCAAGTAGAGTCTTTTGTATGTGGGGTCAGAAAGATTGAATGCTTTTGTGATGCTACAGCATGCTAAGGGAGAATCCAGTATTTGGAGATGTAGAAATTTTTATGTATTGGGATGAAATCCTGTATGAATTATTCTAACGTTTTGCTGAAATTTTTACATGATCTTGATCTTCATGTTTTGCTGATGGGAACTTTATTGGTAGTCATTTGGCTTGTGTTTTGTATAGTCCATACTTTCTCCAGATATAATCAAGGGAGTCACAGTGAAATTGTATATAGCCAGTTGTCTCCATGATGTCACACTACCTGTTCAGCATTCTTCCACCACATTTGCAGCTCAGCTCATTTGCCAGTATACATATTAAGTTTGCAGTAGAATAGGTCCAGTCAAATTTTTTGTAAGAGATGTTAAAAATGCTGAAAAACAACCTGCACAGCATATTTAAAAGTAGATGCACATTGTGAAACATTGATTTGTTTGAAAATAATGACACAAATTTCGTGTTCTGTTCCTACATAAGTATTTCCTTGAACTAAGAATATTTCGAATGAATTTAACGTTGGGTAAGATCTGAGTACACTAAACCAGAAATAAAGAAACCCCATCAGTTAATGAAAACTGATGATTACTGGCCTGTGCTGCTTTCCTTGAATTACGGAATTCTAAGGCAGGAAGACTCGGCTTTTCACTTTCAAAGACCAAATTGTTCCTTATCCATGATCAGCATTGCTTCCATATTTTATTATTTTATAACACTGAATCAGAATTGA